TTCAATATTTAAGAATCTTATATTCAAAATAATTACAGGAATAATCAATATTATTCCCATCTTGTTCGAATTAAACAATATATTTATATACAAAAAAGTATTTTGAAACTATGCGACAAAGCGAGCGAATTCTGGTTCAGGAACTGAACCTAAGTGCAAAGGGAGTCGGTTCGAACCGTGAACCGCGGCTTTGCAGCCCTGGTTTTCGGTTTTGTTTCGTGAGCACGCTGTCCTTGAAACTTTTTAAGCAAAATGAAGTCAACTAAATTAGCTGCACATCTTCCTTTTATATATATGCGTGTGTGTGAGTATGTATGCATGTGTGTGCGTATGCATGCATGTGTGTGCGTATGTATGTACGTATATTCTCAGACTTTACAGCTGCCCCTCTCCTTAACAGCCGCTTTTGAACTGCGCCAAATTTGATTGGAAAATAAAAACCAACATCGTTTTCCAAGCCAAATGGCCTGACCACATGGATACATTGAAGCTACACGGGGCCGCGGCATGTGTCATAGGCATAGAAGCCACCCACAAGCCGCAAGCGGCGCTCTAACTCTGTAGCTCCCTCCCTTGCTCTCTCGCTGCGTGTGTGTATCTGTGTGTGTGTGTGTGTGTGCGGCAGGTGTATAAAAGCGACTGGCTTTGGGGCAGCCAGAGCATTAGACAAGTGTCAGGCGGCGCGTGCACATTAGCAAGGTTCAACAAGCAGTCCAAGCAGCCACATCCAGTTGAATCCACACCCAGGCGGCCACCACATGAAGTGCTTTGTAAGGGCGTCGCCACTTGGCGCGTAGCTGGATTAGCCCGTTACTAAATTCGATTTGGTTGCAGATCGTATTTGTGGCAGCGATGCTGCTGGTGAGCGAGACGCTGGCACAGGATCAGGAGCAGCAGCAGGAGCAGGTGGCGGCATCGCCAGCGGCGGCTGATCAGGTGAGCGCCGCCAGCAGCTATGCACCGCTGCAGGAGAAGAAGCAGGAGAAGCGCTATGTTGGTGGATACGGTGGTTATGGTGGTTATGCTGGCTATGGCACCAATGCCGGCTATGGTGGTTACGGCAACTATGGAGCATATGGCTCCACGCTGGGCGTCGGCTACGGCAGCGGCGTGGACAGCTACTACAATCCGTACGGCGCACGCGGCTTCGCAGGCTTAGGTGAGAATAGGCGGCAGTGGAAAGCGCTAACTGTACTAATCTCTGTTGGCATTTTACAACACTAGACGGCGCTGCCGGCTATGGTGGCTATGGCTCCACACTGGGCAGCTATGGCTCCACGTTGGGCGGCTACGGCTCATCATTGGGCGGCTACGGCTCCACGTTGGGCGGCTACGGCTCATCATTGGGCAGCGGTGGCTACTATGGCGCCGGTTACAACTCGAATCCTTATGCGCTGTCCTATTACAATTCACGCCTGGGCGCCGGCGCAGGCGTAGGCGTCGGCACTGGCTACCCGTATTACAATACACGCTTCGGCGCCGGCGGCTATCCCTCCAGCTATTACAGCAGCAACTATGGCAACAGCGTGGTGGGCGGCGGCTTGGGGGCGTTGGGCGGTGTGCCGCCCATTGGCGCCGGCGCCGCTGGCTACAATTATGGTGCCGGCATCTCGGGCACGGTCTACTAGGATACGGCGCATAGCATGGAACACATTTAAGTTTAGTGCAATTTATTATTTTTTTTTTTGTCTCCCATTCTATCATATATACATAAATATTTTTTTTCTAACTTAATATTTTAAATATGTTAAACAAAATAAGCAAACCAGAAAATTGTATAACTTGTTGCTAACTGGAGGCAGGACTCTCTCGTTTAGGCGTATGCGCCGTGCTTATCCTTGATGACCCAGAAGGAGTCGACAATCTGGCCTTCCTTGTCATCGGAGACCTGTTCAAAGTACAAATGTGTGCCATTGTGGGCCTTGAGGCGCGTGTAGCCGTAGTCCTGAAAGAAAGGCAAGCCAAAACAAAGTGTAAGGACAATAATTTCACAAACTGAAAATTGAAAAAAAAAGGCAAGCCGCTTCGCAACATTCTGTTGACCAAATGTTGCAAAGCCGATTCTTGTGGTACATGTATCGATTATTTTGAAAACGATACTTTTTTTTGCAAACACTCACTTAAAGCTGATTGGCAACACTTTGTTGCTAGCCCGAATAAGTGTTGAAAATGTATCGATAGGTTGCAGAGCGATACTTTTGAACATACTTGACACGTAATTATCGAATGTAGATTCCGTTACTTACGTTGCTGTGAAACGCATTCCAATCGGGCAGATTGTTGGAGAAGGGCTCTCGGTTCTCATTGCAGCCGGCGGAGCCAGTTATGATCTGTATGGGCGCCTTGGGATTTGTGTAAGGTGCCTCGGCGCTGCCATTGTAAACCTTGAAGTCATAAATGGGCCACAGCCGAGTATAGAAATGCTCGTGTGCAAAGAACTCGACATCAACTCCATGCTTATAGAACAGATCCTCCAGTCCAAACCATTTGAGCGTCGGCAATCCCTGTCGTATATATGTCTCCAGCCTGCCATTGCAGTCGTACTCCTTGTCGTCGCTGCAGTACATCGGGCGATGGCCAAACGTGATGATCCAGGGTCGCTTGGCGCGATTCTCTGGCAAATTGGCCTCAGCCAAATCCCGCTCCAACCACTCGAATTGTTTGGTGAGCAGCTTCATGCCATAGTTAATAAAGTAGTACACCTCCGTGGAGAAGGACACAAAGTGCACTGGTCCCATATTAAAGCTGTACCACAAACTGTCACCGTTTCCGGGCATGTTGAAGCGTGCCCGATAATTGGAGAAGTTGCTGCAGGGGCAGGAGAGAATCGAATTGGTTCAGTTGGTCAACAAGGCAACAAATGAATACGTACTATTTCTCCTCGTGATTGCCCGGACAGACCATGTACGGCACATAGGCGGCCACCGTTTCGATCTGGCGCATAAACTCATCCCCGACCCGGGCATCGTCTGTGTCCATGTCGTAGGCGAAGTCACCCACATGGATAATCGCATCGTACATGCCCAGCTGTGTATCCTGCTGCAGGCGCGCCAACGACTGTGCATTCTCATTACCCATATCGCCGTAGATGGCCAGCGAGGGCGACCACTTGTCGCCCGCCGGCGGTGTCCTGAAGCTATAGACCGCCGACCAGCCCAGGTTGCTGCCGCAGCTGTACTCGTATCGCGTGCCCGGCAGCAGTGAGGGCAGCGTCACCTTGTGTATGTACTGGGTGCGCGCCTGCTTGCCGCCGTCCTCGAAGAGCTCCCAGCTGCCGCTGATCACGCTCAGCTTGTCGTGGACATAGTCCTGGGCAAAGTTGACGATCGATTGATTGGTCGAGCTGCGCGTCGACCAGGTCACCACAATGTCCTGCAGGCTGTCTGCAAGGAATCAATGGACATCAATCAACTTGATTGTTCAGCAAAATATATAAAAAGCGTGTAAACCCAATTAGTAAAAGCTCGGACAAACCCTATAACATTAAATGCTTCCATAGAATCTAAACTGTGTTCAGTTGCATGTGAATACTGCAGTTTATTGGATGCTTTGGATTAAATTACAATAATCAGTAAAAGATATATATAAGTAGATAAGACACTAGAATATTAGCTATATGTATATATATATGTACGTAATTATTGTTTAGGCGGGGCTGTACGGCCCGTGACTATGCTTGATGACCCAGAATTTGTCTATAATGGCGCCCCCTTTGTCGTCGGACACCTGCTCGAAGTACAAATGGGTGGCATTGTGGGCCTTCAGCCGCAAATAGCCAAAGTCCTGGCTGTGGAAGGCGCTCCAGGGCGGCATATGCTTAAAGAATGGCTCGCGTCCCTCATGATTGCCGGCAGCGCCCGATATAATGTGCACCGGTGCACCCGGATTGACATACGGCTCCGACCGCGAACCATTATATACGGTATAGTTGTACATTGGCCACATGCGCTCGTAACAGTGCTCATGGGCCCACAGTTCGACATCGACGCCGTACTTGTAGAAGAGCGGCTCCAGGCCAAAGAAATTCAGGCCGGGCAGACCCTTGCGCACGACAGTCTCATGATTGGCGCAATCGTCGCCGTTTTCGTTGCTGCAGTACATCGGCCGATGGCCATAGGTGATGATCCATGGACGTTTGGCGCGATTCTCTGGCCTGGTGGCCACCAACAGATCGCGCTCCAGCCAATCATACTGCATGACAATAGGCTTGAGACCGAATTGCGTAAAATAGTACACCTCGGTGCTGAAGCCAATAAAGTGAACCGGTCCGAGATTGAAGCTATAGAACAGGTTATCCGTGCCGCCCGGCATGCTGAATCGATTGACATAGTGCGAGAAATTGCTGCGCCAGACGGAGCAGTTGTTAATCAATTTTGATCAATTCTTCATCTTGTGTAGATTCACCGAGCACTTACTACTTCTCCTCGTGATTGCCCACACAGACCATGTACGGCACATAGGCGGCAATCGTTTCCACCTGACGCATAAACTCATCCCCAACGCCGCCATCCTCGTTGCACATATCGTACGCAAAGTCGCCCACATGCAGAATGGCATCGTACATGCCCAGCTGCGTTTCACGCTGCAGCGCCGGCAGCGATGCGGCATTCACCACGCCCATGTCGCCGTAAATGGCCAGCGAGGGTGACCAGTCGCTGTGATTGTGCGGCGTATGGAACCAATAGACCGCCGACCAGCCCAGCTGGCTGCCACAATGGTAATGATACGTGGTGTTTGGCCGCAGCTGTGGCAGCGTCACCTGTGGAAGCGTTCTCTTTAGCCGGTGCCAAGTAACTGTGCCGCAGGCGCCATCAGATCTCTACTTACGCGATGGATATACTGTTTGGCCTTCTTGGCGCCGCCATCGACAAAGGCGCTGGGTCCTTGGGGCGCCTTGATCATCTGCTCGGCGATGTTATCGATTCCGTATTCGCATATCGATTCGTTTGTATTGTCGCGCGTATTCCAGGTGACGACAATGTCCAGGACAGTTTCTGGGAGAAGCGCACACGGCACACTTTGCCATTATTCACAGTCGATATATGCACGATTACAGCTATTAACTAAACCAAGACTGCGCGCTACACGTCTTATCGATTATCAGTTATCGGTGATCGATAGTCGCTTATCGTATTGCAATAGACGATCTTACGAAATCGTTAGTTAATTTTGAAAAAACATTTGATTGCGGCTTAAACCAGCCCATAAATGCTTTTATTTATCATTTAAATTGGGTTTCGGAAATGAAAGTAGTCGAACAATTAAAATAGATACTGGACACCGTTTTGTACCCAAAACTTCTGCTAGAAAATTGGTATTATTTTCGGTTCTTAGCGCTTCTTCAATGCAGATCTTAAGTATGATTATTGGGGAAATGCGGCTAAGAAGAACGTCTTTCTATCTTTAAAACAGAACTAGATGCTATGACCTTGGGCTAAAACAGATGTTGGATACTTCAATTTCAACTTAGCTTAGTTTACATGCTTTGCTCAATTCAACATTGAAAATACTAAAGATAAGGCTCTATCGCATTCAGTAAGCTTATCAGAAATTGAAGAACAAAAGATAATTAAAAGGCATACAATTCCTATATTGAAAAAACTCTTTTGAAGGCAGATCTTTGGTGAATATATAAAGAATATATATTCGAAGCAATCCTGCTACTGGGAAACATTGAACTCCAATTTCAAGAATATAGTTTTTCTATATTGACAAAGAGAAGACACAGTATTCGATTTGAGAAAGTGATAAAATAAAAAAAAACTCTTGACATTATTAGATAGACCTCTTAACAGATATATAAATAAACATATACAACACGATGTATATACGTCAACCTAAAATACATGCAATTAAAATTGGCTAATTTAAGTATTCAAATACAGTTTGTTCTGGGCTTATACTGGGCAACAGTTGCAGTTGCAGTTGCAGTTGTGTTTAAGGTTTTGTTTGGCAATAGAAATGTGATAAATAGGCGTTAAATTGAGCTATATAATATATAAAAGAATGTGCGCTAATACTGCCAGTTGCTACAGTTGTGTGTGTGAATGTGTGTGTGTGTGTGTGTGTGTGTGTGTGTGTGCGTCCGTCTATTTGTTTGATCTAGCATCTTCGCCTATTTAGAGTTCACTGTAGGCGCCGTGCTGCGATTTAATTAGCCAGAACTTGTCAATAATGGCGCCCTGCTGATCATCGGACACCTGCTCAAAGTACAAATGGGTGCGATTGTGTGCCTTGAGACGCGTGTAGCCGTAGTCCTGGCTATGGAATGCGCTCCACTCGGGTATCTTGCCCTTGAAGGGTTCACGTCCCTCCTTGCAGCCGGCCGAGCCGGTTATGATGTGTACCGGCGCACGTGGATTCTCATAGGGTGAGCCCAGTGTACCGTTGCGCACATTGTAGTCATAAATGGGCCAGAGGCGTTCGTATGAGTGCTCGTGCGCCCAGATGGCCACATCGACGCCATACTCGTACAGCAGCGGCTCCAGTCCAAACATATGCACAAATGGCCAACCGACACGTGTCAGCGTCTCTGAGTGGGTGCAATCGTTGTCGTTCTCATTGCTGCAGTACATCGGCCGATGGCCATAGATGATAATCCAAGGCCGCTTGGCCCGATTCTCCGGCATGTTGGCCGCCTCCAGATCGCGCTTGAGCCACTCGTACTGAAAGACGAGCGTCTTGACGCCATAGTTGAGGAAATAGTACACCTCCGTGGAGATGCCAATGAAGTGCACGGGGCCCAGATCAAAGCTGTAGAAGAGATTCTCTGTGCCGCCCGGCATGCTGAATCGTGCCCGATAATTGGAAAAGTTGCTGCAAGGCGAATCCAATAAACGATCAGCAAACAATCTTCGCTTTCGCTCTGCTGGCCAACTTACAACTTCTCCTCGTGGTTGCCCGGAACGACCATGTACGGAACATAGGCGGCCACCGTTTCGATTTGGCGCATAAACTCATCCCCGACCCGGGCATCTTTTGAGTTCATGTCATAGGCAAAGTCACCCACATGGATGATCGCATCGTACATGCCCAGCTGTGTCTCCCGCTGCAGGCGTGCCAGCGACTGGGCGTTCTCATTGCCCATGTCGCCGTAAATGGCCAGCGAGGGCGACCAGTCGGCATCGGCGCTGGCGATTGTACGGAATTGATATTTGGCTGACCAGCCGTAGGCGCTACCGCAGTGATAGACGTAGCTGGTGTTTGGTTTAAGCTGGCTAAGCGTAACCTAAGTTGAATGCAGAATCTTAAGTCTGTGAGCTGTGTGTTTGTGTATGCGTGTGTGTGTGTGTGTGTGTGTGTGCGTACCCTGTGTATATATTGGGTCATCTGCTTGGGACCGCCATCCACAAACTTAATGGCCCGGCCGTCGGCACGCTGCGTAAGATCGTTCAGTCCATATTCAACAATGCTTTCTGTATCGGGCGGCAGGCCGCGCGTTGACCAGGTGACAACAATTTCGCTGGCGGTGCGCTCTGGTGCAGCGGTAGGCAAACGGTACAAATGGGAAGAGAAGACAATGCAAAAAGGAAAACAATTCTTGAGTTTTTGGCCAAAATAACAAATTTGTATATATTTCGTTTTTTATTATTATTTTTTTTTTTGTTTTTACTAATGTTCAGTGCAACAATATTTCATACGCACTTCGGAAATTGTTTTGATGGCATGTTTTTCGATTTGTTGTTTCGCTTCTCGTTTGTTTGCTTATCGCTCGCTTGCTAGGATCGGGCCACACACAAACACAAACACAACTAAAGTTAGAGTGTGACCTTATTAGCGTATGATTAATATACCTAACACACAAGTTCTTAGCAATCTGGTAAATACTATATATACTATATTAAGCGCTTTTATCAGCTTAATCAGCCTTAGCTCCGTTTTGTGGCCACTTCCACGGATGACGCGCCCGCGCATTTCTATTGTGATTGTTTTTTTTATGTTTATTGTTTGTGTTAGGGGCGTTAATATGGCTCAACGGGAACTGCAACTGTAAATGCATATTGCATATTGTGTGTCGAATCAGAGGGGGTGAGGACTTTAGACACGCTATCAACGGCCGCAACTATTGCGCAGCAGTTTCGACAATGACACAAAATTATATCAAAAAATATAAAAAGTGCTTAAGTTATGAAAAATTCGCTGATATCAGCGCTAATATGGCACTCAATTTTCGGCATACTGACAGTTTTTGGGGTTAGAGGTAAAGAAACTCGCGCTTGAACTTTAAACTTCTTGCAAATTTACAGTTACACACAAATATATATGTACGTATGAGTGCATATAATTGGCGTATGCTTACAGCTATGATATATATATATGTAACTGTTGTTTGGTACATACCTCCAAATGCCAGATGCACCTGCTCCGGCTGATAGTGCACTATTTGCAGATCCTGTACCAAGTTTTGCTGAACGTTTGCATCTTCCCCTAGCTCCAAGTTCCGCTGCACTGTGCTGGCCACACAGAGCGCCAGCAGCAGGAACAACAAGGTCAAATTTACCATTGCTTTTTTTTTTGTTTTTTTCTTCTATTTGTCTGTTAGTTATTCACGTTTAGCTATTGAGCCACATCTAATGGCATTGCCAAATCAGTACACGCAATATATAGGTCAGCAAAGAATTAACTTGTTTTCAATTACGTTGTATTTTTTGTTTTATATAAATTATTGCTGGCGGCAGCAGAAATAATGAGCGAAGAATATTGAAACATCCAGCAATTTATAGAATAACAACAAAAGACTTGTGTAGCACTGGAGATGTTGCTTGTCATCGATACTTTCGATAGTTCGATATTTTCAAACGATAGTTGACAGAGTGACCAGACACACAGCGCGCACTTTTTTCGAATACAAATTTGAAAACAAAGCATGCCCTGGACTTTGTTGTAGTTGCTTTCGATTTGGTTTATTATTTCATTATAGTTTTCCGGCATTACAATTTGGGAAGAGCAACAAAAATTTATTTGGAAAATAAAAGTTATACAATGGGTATGGCTGGTTTATCAGAGGACTTTATAACGTTAACACAATTGAATTGTGTGCAACAATGCAGCGCATTGATACATAGTCCAAAACCACGAAACTATATAACGGCCGCTACACTTTTTGGCATATATTGCGGCGTGCTCGCTTATCGTTCCTATCGCAATTACCGTGCGCGATTGGAGGCCCAAATAGAGGATGTACCCATCGAGGAGCCAGGTGCACCAGAGGTGCAAGCCTACGAGGAATACGTCTACGAGGCGCCAGTTACGGATCCCCACGAATATCTTTTGCCCACCATTCGCGAGCCAAGTCTATTGGAACAACATTCAAATGAAGAGGCCGTCACAGCGGCACCCTAGCCCAATATTTGGTACGAACTCGGCCGAAAATTCCTTACCCAAAATCAAGATGATAATTTCCCATTTCCAATAATTTGATTTGAAACGCGAAACCCAAGCTCAATTCCCATTATACGTGTTTCCAGTTTCATTCAAAATCTGACAGCTAATAAAATTGCACTTAATTTATTCCATTTACATAGACATATATATATATAGATATATATAATAATATTATAGATATTTGATTTATTTATCTATATTTTTTGATATTGGTTTCGTGTACATAATTTATGATAATTGTATAATTGGCATATTCTTTAGTTATGTTACGGAATTTTGTTCATGCTCGCTCGTATAACCTCTTAATCTACAATAGCAACATTTATAAATTATTGTAAATAATAGTATAACAATTAATGGGGATAATAAGTAGTACATAACAAACGTAAACATAGGCAACCTTTTGGGTGGACACTAACATCATTTTTTCTCATTCTTGGCAATATCTAAAGTTAGAAAAACATTTCGGATCGAAAATATAATATAATGGAATGTTAATATATAAATAGGCAAATTGTTGGAAAGAATAATTGATCTACAAACTAGAAAACACTTGAGAGACTTGCTGGCAACTATTTATCGCTGGCAGTTCCAGTTCCGGTTCCGGTTCCGGTTCCACCACCGCTTCCGCTTCCGCTGCCAATTGCGCTGCCGCCTCCGGTATTGGTGCTCGGCTTGCGTGTGGCAAAACCTTCGGGCATGCTGCTCTTGCGCTGCGCCTGCGAGATTTGGACAATGCGCGACAACGGAGAGTGTGTGCTGCTGGTGCTGGGCCGCATAAGCGCCGAGGGCATCAGGCGAGCAGGCGCGGCGCCAGCCTCATCCTGGCCAGCCGCAGGCGACAGTTCACGCGCCAGCGGCGAGGGACGCAGCGACAGGCGACGCTGCAGTGCCGTCTGCGAGCTGGACATTTGGGTGGGCTCCTCGTTGAGGCTGACACCCGGCGGCGGCGCCTGTCCCGGCGGTATCTGCAGCGCGGTCGGTCGCACGCTGAAGCGACGCCGGAATTTGGTCTGTCCCAAAGGCGTCGAACTGGCCGCAGTAGACGGTAGCGGTCGCTCCGTATAGCTGGGCGGCGGCTCCAATATCTGAACGCCCGATGGACGACGACTGGCCAGGGCCAAGGATTGGCTGCCGCCGCCGCTGCTGCTGCTGCCGCCCTGCGGCGACATGGTGCCGACAATTGTGGATCGACGCGCATATAAACGATTGGCGGCGGTCGCCTGCAGGGCGCGCGTCTGATCTCCGGCAAAGAGTGACAATATGGGCGGCAGCTGGGGCGGATCGAGGCCGGCGTTGCCCAGTTTGCGCTGTTTCTTGCTCAATTTGCCGCCGGTCGCCGGCGGCTGCTGGTGCTGGTGCTCGTCCAGCGCCGCATGGGTGTGCACCACCTCCAAGGCGCGTATCAGATCCGCAATGGTGGTCTGCTCGAGTACATCCATATCCTTGTCGGAGGTCACCGAGAAGATGCTGGAGCGGCGTGGCATTGTGCCGTTCATGTCGGCGCCCGTCGCCGGGAACAGGCTGCCGCGACGTGCCGCAACGGCTGCCATTGCCGCCGAGCCGGAGCCGCGTCGCTGCATCTGGTTGAGTGCCGCCGCCGTCGGTGGGAACATGCTGCCACGACGTGCGGCCAGCGCCGGGTTTTGTGTGTAAATCGATTCGCGTCGACGCTTGCCAGCTGCAGCGGCGGATTTGCGTTGATAGGCGCCGGTGGAGCTGAATGTCGCCTGCTCCGAGTCATCCAGCTGGTAGCCCTGATTGGTTATGCCGCCATTGCCCGTGCTCGACGCGAGACTTGTGCTCGATTCGAATGCTGGCGGCGGCGGACCGCGACCGTTGCGTAAATACGATTGGCTGGCGCTGGCCGTGATCGTGTTGTTGTAGTTGTCCAGCGGCGAGCGGCCCGGCAGCGCCGTAATGCCCTCCGGCACGGAAACCACCGACAGCTTGCGTTCAATATCCTGGGAGGGTCGTTTGCGATGGAAGAGCTTGCGCAGGCCATCCGGCATGGAGAACTTCTTGACACGTCCTGCGCCGGCCATGCTATTCTTCTTGAGCTGCTCCTCAACGCTGTCCGGTTCCGGCTCCGGGTCCAGCTGCACCACATGCGACTCGCCGGCGGCGCCATTCAGCTGGCTCTTGTAGCGACTATTGAAGGCCTCCTGAATCTGTTGATTGTCACCGCTCCAGGTCCATTCGTTGTGATTGTGCGGCACACGCAACGGACGCCGTGGTGGCTCGATATTGAAATCGGAGCTGGCACGTCCGCGCGGACGACGCGGCGTTGTGTGTTCGTTTAGCGTCGAGAAGGACCATTCGCTGGCCAGGATTTGCGAATCGGAGAAGCCGTGATAGCCACCATATGTGGCCGCATCATCAGCCTCCGGCGGCGGCTGGACCGTGGCCAATGCTGTCACCACCTTGGCCAGCAGATCCGTTGTCTGGCGATATGCTTCGGCCGTTTCGAACGTCTTCTCCCGATCGAATTTGCTTAGCTCCGTATCGGAATTGGCGTGCACCATCACAGATGGATGCTGACTGGCTGCCACAACGGCGCAAACGGAATAGGCACGTTTTCGACTTGGTATCGGTGCTGGCTCCATGCGGTACATGCTGAGCTCCGGGCAGGAGGCCGACCGGGGTAGTGTATAGCCAAATTCTGTGTCGGTGTAAACGGGCTGATTCGGTTAAGCGATGAATATCGTGTGCAGTTATCGTTATCATTATCGGTATCGGTATCGAGTGCGTGCATGTGTGTGTGCGTGTTTGTTGTTGTTGTTGTTGTTGTTGTTGTTGTACATGTAAAGAAAGCGCAGCGTATGCGTTACATTAGTGTAAGTTTCAATGTTGTTATTGTTGTCTCTGTTACTCTCTCTCGCTAGCCCTGGCTCGTGCTGCTATCCTGATCCTGTTATTAATGTTAATATTTTTCTGTTACTTATTTATATTACTTACGCCTGCGCTTCTTCTGCGTCTTCTTAATCTTAATCTTCGCGCTCTTTCTATTTCCCTTTCGACAAAACTACAAAAAGAAAATATCACATTTGTTGTTAACTAACTTGTTGGCGGTGGGAGAGAAGTGTGCTTGCGGGGGGGGGGGGCGGGGGGGGGGGGGGGGGGCGTGCTGGAGTTACGGTTAATGTTCGCCCGCTTAGTCAAACATTTTGTGAATGCGTATCCCAAATTGTTGATAGTTGTTGTTGTTGTTGTTGTTGTGACGCATAGCAAAGACGCAAACGTAACGGAAATGTGTGCGCGACATTGATTAAACATACATACATAAATACATATAAAGACACACACACACACACACGTTCTATTGTGTGTGTGTTAGTAAATTTGATTAGTTTTTGGTTTTCTTTTGAAAAGTGCGCGCGCCGCTTGCCGCCTTGGCGCTGACGCGTGCAACGGTAAAACCGACGCATGACTTAACGCGTCTGGGAACTAGCAGCAACGCATTTAAAAGCGTCCGAAAGTAAGGTAAGGTTTAACATAATATTTCTATTAATTGTTGATAATTATAATAAATAACAAATTAAATGCTCCCACATATTCAATTACATACACATAGCCTAATTTAAATATCATACATATGCATAATTAAGTTTATTGTTAAGCCCGATATTATAGTTTAAGTAACGGTAATTCATCTAGTGTGATATGCTTGTGTTGTGGCATTACCTTTACTTTCAGTATATAGAGCTCGTTGAGCAGGCGTCGCAAATAGCCCACGTCCTTGGTAACACCCGTCCAGATGCGATTCTGTGTTGCCTTCAGATTGGACGAGAGCTGCTGCTCCAGATGCGCCAGTTTCTTGCTCTGCAGGCCTCTGTGTGGTGTATATGCAAATGATAATGGTATGGAATAAGAATAATATGTTAGCTTTGAATGATGGATAAGTGATGGTTAAGATCGATGTATTGGCAAAACCCAACGCATGCAAACGGAACGCAACCCAAATCATGCAATACGATAATCAATAAGGCCAACTTACCGGGTTATGAATGTCATGATCATGACCAGATAGCCCAAGGAGAATATAAACCAGACAATAACAAAGATTTGGTAGACCACAAACCAGCCGCCAAATTCGCGTGGCTATCAAAATATGGGGAATATAGTCATGTTTTTGACAGTTTGTCCTGCTGCGATATTCACCTGGCTGGCACCAAAGGTGGGCACAAAATCACCAAAGCCAATTGTCGTTGTCGTCACATAGCTGTAGTAAAAGGATATCGAATATGGCCAATCCTCGAAATAGGTAAACACCCAGGCCGGCAGCAGCAGAAACAGGGCTATGCCCGGAATAAGCGCTATAACCACTGTCGTAATCAGGCCCAGCTGCGGCGGCACATAGTGATCGTCCGTGGACATTTTGTACTTCTTGTACCGTCTATAGATGGCCACAAACTGGATAGAGATGCAGATAATAGTTAACAAATGGAAAAGGAGAAGTGCGTTGAGCTCAGATCACATACCGTACGTCCAAAGTACTCGCCCAGTCCGGCAAAGAGTATACCATTTACCGGAATGCCGATCACCGAATAGGCAATCATGATCATACGACCCGCAAATGTTGTCGGCGATATGTTGCCATAGCCGACCGTCGAGCAGACGGTGAAGGCAAAGAAGAAGGCATGATAGAATGTCCATGTATAGGGTATTTCATATTCATCCTTAGTATGATCCGTTACCGGTTTGCCGCAGTAGCTCGTTATCCGTTCGAGAATTTCGTTTTGCGTGCTCGCATTCTTATCGGACAGCTCTTCCATTAAGTATTCTGGAGGGTACACAAATATTCCAAATACATAGTAGATAAACACTCAACAACAACAAACAATCGAAACTGTGATACAAAACGCAATGAAGCGTAAACTCAAATCAAATCAAATTGAATTAGTTCTATTACACGTGTTCCGGAAGCGGGCGATCGCGTTACAAACGCCATTTAACCTTCCGCTTTTGCGATAAACACAAATAAAAATCAACAAAAATCAAAAAGAGAGAAGCGTAGAAGAAAACAACGTGGATCAGGGCAATCGAAAAAAACTGAGGCTTCGTCGGGGGGCCTGACCCTGACCCTGACCCTGACCCCTGCCCTGGGCTTTTGCCACCCGCATTGCTGATCCGGTTACGTACGTAACTATTTAAAATGCGGCCCACCATGTGGCATGCAGCAGGAACGTACGGATCATTAGGGGTGTACGCTATTTTGATTGTGCTCTGATAAGATCGTGAATGTTGCACTTGATTTGTGCTCGAGCTGTAATGCTAAAGCTAAACAAATTATCGGGTGAGCTGAACTTTACTGACCAACAATTAGAGTATTTACATTTAGTTACTACAGAAAAGTCATGCAGATCAGATATGTGTATTATATAGTTCGTTAGGTTCACGGCAAAGATATGCATTTCAACAATTTCAGTTAGTGTTAATTATGACCTTTATTTTTAGCTTTAACTGTATTGTTTGGTTAATTTTAAGCAGAAAATGTATGTACCTGTTAAATATTTACCAAGCAGTTAGCAGCAGGATGTTGCCAGCATGTAAAACAAGGCGCATGTGGCAGCATCAGCTTTTTATTTGGCGTTGCCACATCTTTAAACTTGATTGAAATTTAACTGCCAGTCAAGGCTTGCAATGTGCTTGACAAGCAGTTGTGAAGCCAGGCACTTTGGAGGTGCAATCTAACTATCTATGCAGTTATATCACATAGTTAACTTTCAAAAAAGCAAATTTAGCGCGCATCTTTAGTGCAATTCATTGGCATTAACTAAGTGCAATCATTCAATAAACCTTAAGCCACAGGCAAATGCAAAACTGACAACAATTTTAGCCGTAATCTTTTAACGAATTGCATAATTCAATAAATGCTACGGCCAGTTATTTAACAAAGCCAACCCCACAGGGAGGGAGACCAATGAGGGGCCCAGCGGGCGGTGCGCAATTGCGGGCAATTCGCCCAGTGCACTCTATGTAGATCTAATCGTAATCTCTCTGTCTCTTCGACGGGACAACATGGGAGGAGACGGACAAACCGATCTGTTATTGTCACCTTTTGTTGTCGTTGTGGGTGCCCCTCGGGTTGATTGTGATTGCGGCAATTTGTTCATAGACGTCGATCATTAGCACAAATTCTTGTAAATCTTTGAAGCTTAACGGTACACAAGCAAGCGATAGAATAGTTGACGTTAAATGAGATTAACTTGTTGTCGCTTTTGTTGTTAAATTTGATTATCTCGTGCGCCGGAAATGTTTGTGGCAAACAAATTGATAAATTTACTTGATTAATGATCGCTAGGCAAGAAAGATAGAAACAGAGAGGGCAAGAGAGAGAGGGAGATATGGGGGAGAGATAGAAAAAGATAAAGTTGAGAAAATATTGACCCCTTAGACACCCTCAATCAAGTTTGAAGAGGGGCAATGCCTGAAACAATCGAGATCAGCCAAATATCAGACAAATTTGAGAAAGAGAGAAAGAGTAAGAGAATTAATGGATGGACCCGATAAGCCAAATCAGACAAGATCATTTGTTCATTTTAGCTGATCATTAGACCATACTACACTGAAACCCATTCACAAATCAAAGAGACACAGATAAATAATCATTAGAATATTTAGAGAAAAGAAAAGATCACCTAAAGATCACCAAGAAGTCAAGAATAAATTTGAAGAAAGGAAAACGAAATACTTAAGAAGTTTTCCGAAGAGAGTGATAATAGAAGAACGTGGTGAAGTAAGGCTCATTGCAGGGTAATAGAAAGAATCTGCCGATCGATCTGACAAGATCATATTCAGCAAGTAACTAAATATGATTTGATATGATGATCACAAAAAAATATCAGCAAGGTATTATAGAGGCGCATGGGTATGATCGTTCAGACTGAGACTGAGACTCTAGGAAAAGGTAAAAAGTAAATATATAAATCTTCATCTGTATGTATATCTATATCCTTGATCATTAAACCAATTGTTTATGGCTTCTAACAGCAACTGGCGTTTGGCTGACTAACAGCAAATGCCATCATCATCACATGTCTGTGCACAGTTCAGAGCGAACTGTGAGCCATGGTCTTAGACCAGGTACATACCGATATGTCAGGTATACGACATTGAAGTGCTTTTGAAGCCCAATAGATTAATGTTGATATCGAATACGACGAGTACGAGTGATAAAGCCTGTCCCTGCTGACAGGGGATACCCAAATTAAGACCCATGGTAAGACCCACGGATACAGCTAGTCAAATGGGCTTAGTGTAAGACCCTTCCGATTCGATTCGAGTGTTCATATAACACTTGAACTCGTTCATCGTGAATGTTGCTAACTGATTTAACCCAGAACTTATAGATATATATACATATTTGTATGTGCTGTGTCATTTACCCAACCGAATGACCTACGACTTGTGCAATCGGTTAATCGCTTCGCATTGGTGGAAAGCCTAGCACTTACCATATATATATATACAAACATACATACATACTATATAGATATCGATGCACGTCTTGGCCCGACGGTGTCTAATTCGCGTTTATAGTTTATTTATCTGCATAATTAGCACATTTTATGTGGTATTTAAATTTGATTTTATTGCAATTATAGTGGAATAACCCTCAAAATAAATACGCTCGCTGTGAGATTTATGTGTATGATATACACAAACACACACAAACAGAGGGAGAGAGAGAGAGAGAGAAGCATGTAAATCACACTCGTATAAACGCAATTAATCACGAATCAGATTCGCACACTTGCTAACTCATAAAGCTCACATTTCCCAACATTTACGCACGTTTGGCGAAACAAAAATAAAGCCAGGTAAATACTGTCGGACGCTTTTTACACACCGAATTAGGTATGCTCTAAAAATATATATTAATAGTCAATATAGTCAGATATAACGTTTATGCCATGCAATTGATGATATCGTTTTTAGCACATTAAGTTGGCTGCGCTTGATCAGTGCACGAAATCAGACATTGCTTATGGATAACTCTCGTGTGGAACTAATTTTAGTGATAGTCAAGCTGTCGAAATATACAATACGTTCATGATATCGCTATCACTCTTGAGCAGTTAATGACATCAGACAGGGTTTATGGATAACCCTCTTGTCTAAGTATAGATAATACTATGTTTATACCATGCATTTCATGATATCGCTATCACTCTTTAGCAGTTCATGACATCAGACGCGGTTTATGGATAACTCTCGTGTGGAACTGATTTCTTAATGATAGTCAGTTTATGCATGCTAATTGTGTAAAGTGACTGACTAAGTCTATGCCATGGATTTCATGATATCGCTAACGCTCTTGACCAGTTCATGACATCAGACAGGGTTTATGGATAACTCTCGTATCTAAATATAGATAATGCTATGTTTATGCCGTGTATTTCGTGATATCATTATCAAAACAATTGTCTGCGCTTGCGCAGCTCATGAATTATTCTCACGTGAAACTGATTATTTAATGATAGCCAGTTTATGCATGCGAATTTCATGAAATGCTCGATAATAATATAGAAACAAGAGGAAGGTGTCTTAAGGTGTATTTTTTTGTGAGCATTTTAAAGTTATACCAAATCCGTTGGGCTCTATAGACTGACTATATTTTTTCTTTTCTGGCATTTTACCAAACCCTGCCTTACAAACGGCTAGACAGAGCTTTGTTAGCTGCTCGAAGAAAGTGCATGAACTGTGATGATGTTGAGATATCTTTAGTTAAGTTTGTGGGCGATTGGCTGGCCAGAAATTCGTGGCAGACAGTTTAGTTGTGAGTTATCACACGGTCCCGTGGCATTTTCCATGCTATAATAAAAGTATTTATGTCTACGATATTTGAGACACATGCTATATGGCATGGCTATACGATGATGACGACAGCCGCTGCTGCTGTAAAAAATTCAAGTGCTACCCACCGTAGATCTGAACGCGTTCCTTTAGCTCCTCGAGGCGTGCCTCCTTCTCCTCGCCATGCTCGATGTGGTAGTAGATGGCGGCGCCGAACAATAGATAGGATATGTAAAAGATGAGCAAGAGTATCCAACGGTTTGGCGACATGCTCGACCTGTCGCTTCCTTGGGCTCTGAGGATCCGGCTGCAAGCAGAGAAGCCAACAAATGAGTCTCTCAGCCACGAAATAACGCAACGCCTTGTAAATTGTTTGCTCGCATTAGGCTGGGAACTCAAGTATTTCAACGTTTTCTTGTTATTATTAGTATTATTTATGGTTGTATCAACGTTAATCGACGCTTGATTGCGATTGCTCAACTATCTATCTATACATATATATATATTGTATATATATGTTTATATATAAATATTCGTATGAAATTCTTTGGGCTGCTACGCTACACCGCAAGACGAAAGTCTTATGGGTTAGACGTTGGGCATTCGCTTTAAGATCTGTCACGTTTTCTTCGAACTTGAGTTCGGAGACAGGGGTCTGAACGGGAGTATAAATAAGTTTTCCAAGTTCTAGTAAATGTTTGGTAGTACTCTAATCCTGCTCGAACCCGGCTCGAACCCTGCTCGAATCCGGCTCGAACCCGGCTCAAACCCTGATCGAACTCGGCTCAAATCTTCCTCGAACCCGGCTAGAACCCTGATCGAACCCGGCTTGAGCCCTGCTCAAATCCGGCTCGAACCCTGCTCGAACCCGGCTCGAATCCTGCTCCAACCCGGCTCGAACCCTGCTCGAATCCGGCTCGAACCCGGCTCGAATCCTGCACACACGACATCTGGCTGAACAGTGCAGCTAGCTGAGCATTTATACCCTACCCTTTAAGCCTAAATATACTTTTGTCACGCACTGTGTAACGCATCAAAGATATATACACATGCATACATATGTATTCATATATGTTTTTGTTTAATACGAATAGTTATAGCTATAGTTATAATGTAGATACAATCGGCCGATTGGATCACAAATTTGTCAACTAAACTTGACGTTTTTTACAAGTTAAATTGTATTAGCATCGGATAACTATATCATATAGCTGCTATAGGACTGATCGGTCTAACACTAAGTTGTTCAATTAGCATCAGACTTACTATATCATATACTATATGTTCATATATATATATATATATATATATATATATATCGCATACTACATCATATACATATATCATATATATAAGAGAAAAGAGTTTCCCTATGGAAAACTATTCAGTTTTTCCCGACAAATCTTCTCACATAGCTGCAATATCTTCACAAGGGTATACAATGTTCGGCGTGCCGAAGCTAACCCCACGTTCTTTCTTGTTTGTTAATATTTAAGACTATTTGATTGCACTTTTTATTATGGCTATGATAAGCGTTGACAACCCTGCCTCAGTCGCAGTCGCAGTCGCAGTCGCGACGTCACAGTAGACATTGCAGAGTCGACGTCAGTTGGAGCAGAAAAGCGGCCGGGTTAGCATATTGACACATCTAATCATATCGGCAAGACGTAAGTGCCGAGTATTGCTGCTAATTTGTACGTACTTCTCCGCTTTCTGTTAACAAACGTTGGCGCTGGGATGGGCATGGCTTGTTATCTGTCTGGGATTAGTTGGGCTGATGACAATGCCAGCCGGCAGCCTCTGCCCCTGTTTGGATGGTTGGAAATGTACCTCGATCGCGTCTAATTAGCGGCTCGATAGGTTGACAACTCTGGCCCCGGTTGGGTGACAGCAATTCTCGACATGCTTCGATTTTAGTTATTTTGTGAAATAATGCAGCGATAATAATAAGTATTAATACTACCGGTAATAGGTATAATAATGCCTGCACACTTCTTCTTGCAAAATCATAAAGATTATTTCACCTATTTTCAAACGTAATTAGTTCATGTTGAGGTAGTTCTCTTTAATCGTATCGCCCATCAGACATTTTATGAACCTTGTCACCAGGCGCAACGAGCGAGAGACAGAGAGAGAGAGTGCGTGAGAGAGAGAGAGAGAGAGAGAGAGGGGGAGAGACAGAGAAGTTTTACCAACAGGTGCTCGAGTATAACGTGAAATTGTATATTTTTCTTATTTTCTTAAGTTTGACTTAGCTGAGTGTGCTGGGGCATAGGAATGCGTTACGAGGGCATATTGGACTGACAGATATCCTGTAATCAGTAACTACACAAGAGAAGTCGGTGGTTCGATTCACGTTCGGTTCGTGTACCTGCTGGTGCACATTCCTTCAAGCTATTAATTCCAGAATTCCATTTTTAATTTATATTTGCCCGCGCTCTACCGAAAATATTGCCAGTCGTAGATATTTTCACAAGAAATTGCGGGCTAAATTTGATCTCTGCCCAAAATTGGCGTCTAACACATTTGGTTAGACAAATTCAACGATTGGGCCCCCAGATATTTATAGAATCTCTAGCTAAAAGTCTCCATTCTTTTTTTGAAGCAAACTATATTTCAAAAATATTTTCCATTCTTTTAATAAAATAAATGATAAATGATATCTTATATCATATATTTATATGCATTGGTAATTGTTATTGTTATTATTTAAATACTATTATTTTCAGCAATAATATTATTTTTATAATTATTTTAATAAATAATAAGATATTTATTATAATTATCATCATTATTATATCATCATTATTAATATTATTATCATTATTATTAATTTTATTCTTATTATTTTCATTATGATTATTCATATCATTATCATTGTTATTATTATCATTATTATTATTATCATTATTATTATCATCATTATTATTATTATTAATATTATTTTCATTATTATTATTATCATTAATATTATTTTCATTATTATTATTATCATTATTATTATTATCATTGTTATTATTATCAATGTTATTATTATCATTATCATTATTATTATCATCATTATTATTATTATTAATATTATTTTCATTTTATTATTATCATTATTATTATTAACATTATTATTATTATCATTGTTATTATTATCATTATTATTATTATGATTATTATTATTATCAATATTATTTTGATTATTATTATTATCATCATCATTACTAATATAATTATTTTATATGAATTATTGTTATAAAAGGAATTGGTCTAAATTTCTGGTATACATAGATGTTACCTAATTCCGAACCCAGTTTAGTTTCTAGATATTTCATTTACTTCCTCTAATTAGTTTTCTTTCATAGTTCAATGTTGTAACTTGGCCAAGTACTCAAGTAATACATGGGACATTACCAAACAATTCTCAAGGCATCAACTATCTATTACACATATATGTACATATTTATTTTCGATTCGCATTGTTGTTGCAATTGAAGTCAAGTGGAGTGTTGATAATAATTCAGTGCATACAATATCATTTATTCAATTAGAATTATCAATTTTATAGTAGTAGTACAAGTATTGAGAATGTTTTCCCAAATTATCTATGATGTGTGTTTGTTTTCAGTTGAAAGTCAATAAGCATTGCTTATGGCCAACAAACTGGGCTAAGCATTTGGTTAACAATAACAAAAACAAAAAACAAAAACGAAATTTAAAAAATGGCATTTATTGGGCGCGTTTTGTCAATGATGACGCGACATTCAATGGAAGTCTTTGCAATTTATTGTATTTGATTTGATTTGACTTTTATTTCATTTTTATAAAAACAAACATTTTAATGAGCCTATTTGTTGCCCTGATTTTTGGGCTTGTCGTATTTTCTATGGAATGGAAAATTCTGCAAAAAAAAAAAATGTGCGAATAAGGTAGCTCCAGTCGGGTGTGCCCGACTAGGTGATATGATGTCAGACCACAAATATGGTTCTACCCTTGAGACTGAGTTCCTTGTTTTGAAATTTTGCCCAAAATCTGTTCCCGATGTGCTTCGGTGCTTGGGGTCCGATCTTTTACAAACCACAATTACGGTATGCAAAGCAAGTGAATATTTACAATGTGTTCGCGATGTGCTTCGGTGCTTGGAGTCCGATCTTTTTCAAATTTTAAGACTCTCTTTCCTAGCTTCTTTTTCTTGTTTTGTTTTCTTTCTTTCGTTGTTTTCTAATATGAAGAAGTATTCAAAAATTGAAATATTCCTAATCCTAATTTATACTCAGCTCTTGTAAAATCATGTAAAATCCCAAAATAGATATTTATCGATATTATGGACACGGAAGGGGAGATCAAAGTTGCTTCCTTCCTGCTCTTTTACACACTTTCAGGGCATAAAAAACGACTATTGGCAAATAGAAAATGCGAGCATAGCTAGCAATTCGTTCGCAGCCCATAAATGACAGCAAGTGGCCCCAATCGACCCAAGACGAAGACGAGAAATCTATGATCATGTCAATTAATCTGCCCAATGTTCGATTTGCTAAGTGCGAAAAACAACAGAACATTTAATATAGCCATATAAAGGTTACTAATTGATAACCAACGTGCAACGTGCTGGCCTCTATGGCCCACGGCAATCAATCATAGGCAAGAAAAGGATTGAAGATCAAGTTCTAGTGATCGATGCGATCAAAGCAAGTGATTAACTTTTCCGGCTTGTGTACAGTTTCTCAATGAAACAAAAGTTCGATGCGCGTATCAATACCAGGGCTGCAAACCGTTGCGAAATTGAAAACGAATATATATATAGTATTGTTGAGGAACTATATTAAATTAGTCCCAGCCTTTTATTTGTTGTTGCACTGCTCCATTCCAACTAAAGAACTTACATAATTTATGGCTTGTAAGCTTGGTATTTGACATTGAAGCCAGCTAATCGAATTGGTTCCAGTTATATACAAATGTATATTAGGGACCAGAAATAATCTGTAATCGCATGTATCTAATAGAATTTGCATGACAAAGCTATTTATCTTCATGTCAAATATATACAAACAGCTAGATGCAGGCTAAAGTCAGAGAGTAACGGTAATTTGATCAGAGGCAGTCAAATTTTGAAAGACACAGAAGAAACTTTAGAATACATAAAAGCTGGCTGTAGAATAGCCTTTAGTCAGGCACTTTGCGTGCTTCATGTCAAATATTTAACAGCTAGATGCAGGTTAAAGTCAGAGAGTAACGGTAATTTGATCAGAGGCAGTTAAATTTTGAAAAAAAAAACGAAAGTTAGCATACATATAAACTGGCTGTAGAATAGCCTTTAGTCAGGCTTCATGTCAACTATTTAACAGCTAGATTTACGCTAAATTCAGAAACTTAGCATACAACTGGCTGTGGAATAACCTTAAGTCGGGCACTTTGAATGATCATCATTATGCACTATTATTAATAGTTGTATTTAGTTGATTTGCTCATTTTTTGGTTTATTATGTAGAAAGCAATGAATGAATAAAAAATATTTACATATACTGAACGCTAAACAGTCGCATAATCAATAATAAATAGCAACAAATGCAAATGAACACGTTTAGTAAATAATCACGACGCTTCAACGTTCAGAGAGCTGCTGCTGCTGCCCCCGAAGCAGCACGGTTTTACTCCAATGACGTGGCACGAGGAATGGGGCATGAGGAATGAGATGTGACAAGACCAACCCAATCGAGCCCACCCACTAGAATCTTTTGGATAAATGGCATGCATGGCAGCATGAGGGGGACAATGCTAATTATGTTGACATTGCTGAACAAACCAATTCACATGCATGATTAATTGCATTTCGATCTATCAATGTGCCTGTTTGGCGTGTCTTCTCTCTTCCGTCTGGCTGTTGTCTTCGTGCCATTGATGATAAGAACGAAAGAATCCGGCGACTGATTCTCTTAACTTGATGCCGCTTGTCAGCTGACGTAGTGCCAGGGCCTAGACTAACACGACAATTAATAATGCCAACTGACACGACACGACAAATGTCGATAATACTAAACAACGATCGACCCAAATAGCTAAGCGACAAAAAAAACTGCTCGACTAAGTCATACCCTGCTTGGACAAAAAAGAAAACAGTCGCCGGTTCGTATCATGACTCGAAGGAAACTTCCTAAAGTTCAGTATGTGAACTTGATATTCTAGGTTTTGTTAAATTCTTGGCTTGTTTTGCTACTTCTTTTAAAATGTGAATGAAAGAATTCAATAAGTAATTCATAATTACCCGTTCTTGATAAAGAAATTATATATGGTTAAATTTCACTTTAAGCCAAGAACACTTAGTTTCGGTTTTCGGTTCAGCCAATTGGGCAAGTCCAGATCTTAAAATATGCGACCCAAAATGAACCAAGCTTGAACTGCGCATGGCAACTATATATAAATAAACCACATTCGAAGTCTACACATCTTAGACTAGACAACAGCTAAAGGTTACATGCGTCTGCAAAAAACCTAGCATACCCCTTACACATCAACTCGGTACGCATTAGGCATAGAACGGTTTGAAGGATTTAGCTGGCCATCAAACATGTTGCTAGCAACACGGCGCTCAGCAACATTTGTTGCCAGCAACATGATTGATGACAGCAACTAATATGCCCAACCAACTGACATACTAAAGCGCCATGAAGCCTTGGCAGCGATAAGACGAACAGTTGGCCAGCCCCACAACATTAGCACAGATTAAATGCTAAATGCCAGAAAAGTATCTATCTTATAGAAATCATTTTTATGCCCTGAACCCATTAAAAATGGGTATAAGGGTATATTGTATTTGTGCAAAATCCAAATGTATGTAACAGGCAGAAGGAAGCATCTCCGACCCCATAAAGTATATATATTCTTGATCAGCATCAATAGCCGAGTCGATCTAGCCATGTCCGTCCGTCCGTCCGTCCGTATGTATGAACGCAAGGATCTCAGAACCTATAAGAGCTAGAGACATGAAAGAGACTCATAGTTCCCGCGCAGATCGAGTTTGTTTCCGATAATCGATAACTTACTTCGTTTCCAAGCAATCGATAAAAATCGATATCGATATCCTGTTTTTTGGACAATTTTGGTAAATAATAAGAGCTAGAGTTACCAAACTTGACATATAGCTTCTAAAATAGAATATATATATGTATCCCCTAATCGGTAGCTCCCGACTAGACCCTCTTACTTGTTAGTTTATTTTGACTGTCGATCTGTCGATAAGGATCCTCGCCAACAATCATAACAAATTCATTCACAAAACAACTGTCGAGCTATACAAGTACAAGTCTGCGGGTTAAAGGTCGTCACATTGTTTGATTACAGCCATGCACTTAGATAGATATATTGTATAAGCATGTGCATATACTAGCATAAGTGCGAGCTCTACATAGACGTGCTCTCTTTCAACTGGAGCACGGTTGCATTTGAAAGATCGTTTAGATTGCTCAAATTGAGAATCGAACACGGCAGCAAATAAAACGTGCCTGAAATTGAATTCATGCATTTTGAATGCCATCAAGAGTATCGACAAATGATTTTTCTACATTTCTGTTGGGGCTTTAAGATTTTTCAAAACATATTCTTTTGAGGTAAAAAAAAGGTTTTAAAACTAATTTGTTTTACAACTGATATAATATGGCAGCATTTTAGATTTTTAGATTTTAGATTTTTATGTGATTTTCTTAGATTTTGATGTGATCGAAGAATCTTAAGTCTCGCATTTAAAACATTTTCTTTCTTTTGTTATATTGAGATCGTAGGGAATTCGAATATTTGCCGAATCAAAACTCAAAAAATTGAGCCTTGGCTTTAAGTTTGAAGGATATTCAGTATAAAATATTACTAAAATATTTATAAATATAAATATATGAAGAAATGACATTTGACTATAAAAAGTTTGGTGTATTTCTGATTACCAAGGAATGGTTCTCTTTAAACTCTCGTAACTTTATGTGAACTAGTCCTGTCCTGTTTTAAAGTAACTGTATTAATCTTAAGAATTCAACTTTGATTAATTTTAACGGAAACTTGATACTTTAATTTTAGCTTTCATTCTCGTTCATAAAGTCAATTCAGTTCAGCTTTTGAGACAGAAACATCGAGTTTAATTTTGTAAATATACATATGTAAGACTCGGTAAATATGTATGTGTTTATGTCGAATGGCGCAAGGCGGATACTCTGATAAGCTGGACAAAATGACCACAAGCAGACCCATGCTGATTTCACATATAAGTAAGTACATTTGTAATGATAATACAATTGATTCATTTCGACACTCGCACTTTTGCATTGGACAACGGGGCAATACAATAGATCTTGCCTATATACATATGTACTACTGGAAACGAGTTCGTTAGCCTCTCCATAAATGATATAGCCCCGAGAAATGGGACTTGTAATGAAACTGATATAAATACATTTATATACATTTATTTTTGTTATATTGTTATCAACACTGGCAAAAAGTGCTCTAAACGCAGGATCTGTGCCAAATTCAGCTGTTCCTGCTGGCAAACAATTTACATGGAGTTTCGTTTTGGGTTTTATTTTAATAACATTTATTTAATTATATTATTTGTAAAATATAAGTTGATACCCACACTTAGGCAAACCGAGAACCAAACAAAAATATCAACAATTTTCGCACAGCACGTGAAAAATGTCTTGCGGTTGCACCGTTACAACACACAAAAAAAAAAAAACGCAAAAACGAAGACGAGTACAAAAAAACCAAAAAAAAAAAAAAAACGTTGCAGATGCAGCAACAACAAAAATGCATATAACCGTTGATCGCGACGACAGGACGGTTACCGTTACACGGCGCGCATTGAATTGAAATTGAAGCGCTGCAGGCAGCGGGTTGACACTTTTGTATGTGATGTTTGTCTGTGTGTGTGTGTTTGTGTGTGTGTGTGTGTGGGCCGTGTGTATGTGTGTGAGCCGCGTGTGTGTGTTGACGTTGATTTAAATTGAAATGCTTGGAAGCTCACGTCTCTGCCACAGCCACTGCTCGCAGCAGCTGCGCAGCCAGCGTTGACGAATAGGAATTAGAATTTTAATGCGCGCTTCACGGTAAACGGCAGAAACGGTAACGGTTATAGCTATTATGCTCTATATTGCCCTACAACGCACAACGCTCGCCTCGTCGTTACGGTACGCGATACGTCCATCATATGACTGCCGGGTATCCGGAGCTAAAGTTACAGCCAAGTCCGACTATCAACACCTCCTTTGACGGCCGATCGTCTTCGTCTACCTCACACACACACACGCACACGCACTCGTGCACTCGCTTAACCGCTCACTCACCTGCTCTCTCCTTCGCTCTTTCGCTTTGTAAACCATGTGTGAGATTTTTATTATTATACTTTATTTTATTTGATTTTATTTTTTTTTTTTTCATTTAATTGTTGATCCCGCTGCTCACTCACTTTGAGCCGAAATACATATGTAGCTCAAACCCCGTTCGGAGTACATTCGAGCTATTCGCGCCTTCCAAAGCAAAAGGCGCCCGCCCGCATTGAGTGTGCGCGTGTGTGAATCCGATCGGGGAATGTGACAATTGCGATCCAAGGGGGACTCGATTTGAGTGAGTGCTTTGTATCAAGCGGCGACGAGTAAGCACCGACCTGTCCCTCACACCCCCCCCCCCCTGACCCCGCTCACAGGCATACACACCCACACACACACACAAACTGCTCAGCCAGCGCACGGCTTTCTGCTGTCTACTACGACTAACTACTACAAATGTAAAAGAAACAAAATAAATAAATCGGCGATCGACAAAAGACAACTACGAAAATCGCGAGCACTTTTTCGCCATCTCCTTTGCCCTCCCCTCCCCCTATGGCCTTAGTTTAACAACAGCAATACGAGCATGCTGAACTTACGTTTTGCTACCAACGAACAGTAGTAGAGCAATCGCACAGTGGTTCAATGCAAATGAAAAGCTGTTTGTGGCTATAAACTTGTAAAGCGCTGTTGAAATATATGTTCAAGGATAAATCATTTAAGTTTAGAATCGTGTTCGGTAGAGAAGCTATAAGAAAACTATGAGAATGAGTTTGGCAAGTTAGTGCAAGGATATAGTGATATTTGTTACTGAAAATTGAATTAATTGTAGATGTTAATTATAGTACAAATTTTATCGTGAGCAAAAATACGTCATAGCCATACATACATGAACCGCATTTCAACGAAAACGTGTTTCAAGAGAATCAAATATTAAAATCCTTTTGTTTTAATTGCCCCAATGTATGCTTTAGCCTTTCTTTTTTCATACAGGTGTGTGGCGATTATAATTAAGCGATTTTTAATGATCATTTATTTGTAAAGATATATATGTAGATATGTATACACAATCCAAGCCCAAGCCTGGTATTAAAAACCTTTATTAATCAATCATATTCTTACCCATCAGTGTAAGCCATTCTCCCACTCCAGCTAAATGGGTCTTACGAATTGGAAGCATGCATACACTCTACCCACAACAAGCAACCAGTGTGCACAGTGAGGCATTGATTTCGGCTTTGTATTGTTCTTATGCTCTTTAGATGTTGTTGTGTTTGTTGTTATTTTCACTGGCATGGCAGAAAATTTGTCAGTGTATTTAGCCAACTGTGGGCCCGGACTACTACTATATTGTCGCCGGGCCATGGGCCTCCCCCTGCCCAAATGGCGTCGACGCGTCGATGCCGATGCCGACGCCGACGCCAAACCCAAACACACCCACAACAATATCAACAACAACAACAACAACAACACCAGCACAAAGACAACACGGCAACAGCCGGAGCGCAAATGTTTTGTCTGCGGATTTAGTGCTTTACGACGGAGGCGCACACTTTAAACGACAGCGCCAAGACCCACCTTCACCATTCAACCCATTCAACAATGCTTTCATCACATGATGATGATATGTCATCAGTTATCGATCTGGCAACACTGGCGCATGCGTAGCCAGCCAATGGGATATTCAGAGCGGATTCAGTGTGCCTGCAAGCACTGTGCCCGCTGCACCGCGTGCACAGCGCGCATTCCGTTTGCATCTGCCAATAATGAGACTGATGACACTGATGATTCGACTTGAATTATCGCATTGTTGTTGTTTTACTTTTCCCTTTCCCTCGAAGTCTAATCATTGACTCAGTTTTTAACCAAGACCTGGGCACAGATAGCTGTACACGTATACGTGTAGCAATGTATGCACATACATAAATTCATATGCATGTGCGTATGTATGTATGTATGTGTATGCATCAGCAGCAGCAGCAGCAACAACAAGAGCTGGACCCAGAAGAGAAGGAGAAAGAAGTGGAAGCAACAGTACATCTATAACAAAAGATAGTGTTGATAATAAACACTTGAGAGTTACATTCTCATTCGCACTCGGCGACTGGATAACAGACGCCGCCGCTGCGAAAGCGTGCAGCGACGCCAGCGTCAGCTTAACACACAAACAAAACTCACGCTTAAGTGGTAGCCGCAAAAAAAATATGTATGTATATGTATATATGTATGTGTAAGCATATGTAAGAAACAAAATAGAACCAACAAAAAAGTAGAGCAAACGGCCGCCGCTGCCGATGCCGACCGGAACGGTGGCAATTGGTCAGCCCGGAGCATTCAATGCCCTACACTTAGCCTCGGCATATCCCTGTCACAGAAATCGTTCCCCAAAAAAAAAAAAAAAACAACACACCAAAAAAAATGCCACATGATTAATAATTGTTTTAGCGTTTCTCACGTGCCATTTGACGCATGATTAGCAATTGTTCGAAATAATTAAAGTTGACGTAGAATGGCAACAAAAACCTGGATATCCCAGACTGAACATCCCCCCAAAAATTGGAAATAAAACTAACAATGTTTTCCTTTGATTTTGTCAGCTATTTTTTTTTTTTTTTTTTTATTAGAAAGAAACTTTCAAACTTTTGGTTGGTGCAGCTTGTCGGTTCTCGCAGAGATGGCTTTATAATATCTAAGGTAATTATAATATAATTACTAATAGTTAAAGATGTTACTAAGTATTTATTTTATTGGATTATATATATTCCATATGGATAAAGTCAATATATAATGTCCTTATTGCTACTAACAATAATTAAATATTTCTAATTATGCAGCGCATTTAATCAACATTTTCTAAATGTTTTTTTAATTAAACATTTATTAATTTTTATTGAGTTTGCTTAAACTTGTCTATTTTTAATAGATTTTAACAGTTTTTATGCATTTTGCTTTTTAAGAACAGCCTTAATTAAGCACTTAAGTGTTGCACAATGCCAAAAAATATGTGCTCATATTTGTTACAAGCTTCACATTCCGATCGTTAAGTCCGCATGCGTTTGGGTTAGGGCACAAAACCGATAAGCCGAAATCAGAGCGTGCAAATAACTCAACGAGGTGCTAAAAGATGCAGCAAAGGAAGTGCGAAACTGAGATTAAGAAAAAAAGAGAAAAAGACAACAAGTGAATAGAGTCGAAGAAGTGGCGAAAGAGAACGCATGAGAGCGAATGTAGAAAAGGGCAGCTAAAAACTGAAAGTCTAACTGTTAACCGTTATGCCTAACGTAAATATTCACATTCGATTTCCAATCAGATTTGGCAAGCGTCAAGGCAGCTGGAACTGGAACATGAGCTGGAATTGGAACTGGAACTGGAACTGTTAAGAATAACATTATGCTCAATTGAAATATTCACAATTCGCAATCCAATTCTGATTTGAATTGTGATTCATTTGCATTGAGCGCACATTTCTTTCGCTTATCATTGATAAGTATAATTAATTACTATCGTATTAGGTGCATTTGATACTTTGATGTATCGACGTTGATATCAACATAATGGGAAATAAAAAAAAAAACAACAACATAAACAAATAGAACCAGCGCGCCAAAGCGAATCAAGTGCATTTAAATAAATTCAAATGAATTGTAATTGATGGGCCCGGGAAATTTCAACTCAGTTTTAAGTGCGACACATAGTATGTACCTGACTTATAGATCGATCGAGGTATGCCCCGCCAGTGTTTCATATATTAAATACAACGACATTCTTGTCGGACGTCCAACATGATTAATTGGATTCGTTTTGATGTCCGAGCTGCGCCTAAAAGTTGACAATTCAAAATCCAAATCAAATCAATCAAGCAAATCAAATATGAGCGAGATCTGTTTTAAGTCCTATTGTCGAAATGAAAAAATGGATTTGTTATTTTGATAAATAAGATAGTTTAGTATAAATTAAAGGAAAAAAGAACCGATAACTAAGGCAAGTCGAATATTGATACGAAAAGAATTGTGAAGTTCGGAAAACAAAAAGGTTTTAGTCCGGTTTTTCGACCGATTCTTTATGATATGGTATATATATATAGGTACAATGTTTCTCGATGGAGCTTATTTCTGTGTCCAGTTTGGTTGAGATATTTTGAAAACCAAAAAAAAAAAAAACACTTCAAAAATCGACAGACTATTGCTATGACTTATGATAAGGTGATCCAGTCAGGGATCGGAGATGTCCACTTCTAAGCGTTACACATTATGATAAAACTATATTATGCTCTATATGCAAAGTTGGCTAAAGCCAACACCTTGGCCAGAAGCCATAACCGAGCCTGAGGGCGTGGCATTGGGCCCAATTAGATTGCAAAAGGGATTGACAAAATAAATATGTGCTCAAGCAGGGAAACCTGAGCGAAAACCAAGTCCAATCAAAGCAAAACAAATCGACGGCTGCACCCTTTAAAATGACGCCAGAAACTTTGGTTAAACATTCGACTGTATATTTGTATATTTGTATATTTGTATTGTGCTCTTGTATAAAATATAAAAAATGATTTGCAAACATGTGTTAATGACTCTATGAATTGGCTTTAATTGGCTATGTATTAACTTGGCTAATTGTACAAATGCAAATACAAATACGAATACAAATACAAGTACAAAAAAAAAAAAAAACAAAAAACAAATGTAAGCGGACATCAGTAATTGTTGCTGATTAAATGGGTAATGTTGGCGATGATCTTGCAGCCGTTCTTGTGGTGCAGCAAATTAAGGCACGGATCACGGATCTTCTCCTCAAGCAGCTTGATCAGCTCGGTGCGCAGGCACTGCACCAGCTCGGCGGTCTCGTGATTGTGCGCCTTCAATATGATCCAGCCGCTCTCGAGCAGAAAGAGAAAATCGCCGTCATGGAGTTCCACTTTGAAATCGGAGCCGGCAAAGAGCACAAGCGCAATCAATGGCAGCATGGAGCAGTCGCGTATATAAATGGAGCTGGTGCACACCTTCTCCTGGTAGACAAGAAACGGTGCCTGGAAGACGGCCACCTGAGAGTTGACCGATGATGGATGTATGCGCACATAGCCATCGCCGCGCGTCTTAAAACGCAAATCCTGATGTCCCGGCTCGCGCGGCACAGCCCCACCGGCGGTCTGTATATAGATGCGATCCGGTGTCATTATCTTGACAATGTTCGGATATAAAGCGGCGCAGAGCAGCGATGTCAGCAGGCGATTGTTCTCACCATTCACATTCTGTTCGTGGCCTGCGGGCAAAGTTGTGAGATTTGTGAGAACGAAAGACAACGTTTCAGCTAGCCAAGTCACCTGTTAACTGCAGTATATTGTCGCTGGAATTGGGTCGCTTGCGCGGCACATTGATGGGCACAAAACCAATGGAGACGAGCAGCTCCAGATACTGATACTTTAGATCTGCAATTGTCTCCAGCGTATTGATCGACAAAAAGTTCTCACTCGCATAATTCCGACTGGCCCCATAGTGGCCGCGCTTGGCCACGGCAAGCCATTTCTGTGGATGGGCCAACATTCTGTGTAATTGAGATATAGTCTTTATATATTGGCAATCAACTTACGCGATAGGCATTGAGCACGGTCAGATGATCGCTGTGATCGAGCGCAAATTGACGCTTGCGTTTGTCGGCCTCGACGCGTTTGTTCAGCGGACTGACAAAGGGCGACTTATTGCTTAGGCAGGCGGCAATGGTGAGCACGCTGTCCAGACACTGGAAGATGGCGCCATATAGCATCAGTTTGCCAATGCGCACGTCTACGGGCAATGCGGACAAATGATGGCCCAACGGTGTCAGCTGATCCTCGGCATCCAAAGCGCCGACATCACGTAAACGCATCAGGGCGCCCAGGACGCTGTCCTCTTTGGGTGCCTCCAGTGTCTCCAGGAGAACGGCGAGTGTGTTGCGCGACGCGAACGTTTGCAGCGTCTTGATGCGCAGCACAATCTGTTCGAGCGGCACACGCTGTATCTCTGGCACCGGCTGCGCCAGTATATGGTGCTGGTACCGAAAGCTAGTATACAGATGTATGCAAACGCCGGGCATGACACGTCCGGCACGACCCTTACGCTGCTTGGCATTGGCGCGCGATACCCACACCAAATCTAATGATTCCATATTGCGATTCGAATCGAAACCCTTCTCCTTCATCAGGCCGCAGTCGATGACAAAGACGCAATCATCAATGGTGACAGATGTTTCGGCAATGTTGGTGCTTAGCACTATTTTACGTTTACCGGGCGGCGCACGCTTGAAGACCAGCGCCTGATCCTCGCTCGACAGAGCCGAGTGCAGCGGCACCAGCACAAATTTACCAGCACGCGGCGCAAACATTGCGCTATCCAGCAGCGCATTGTGCACCGTCTGTATCTCCTGGAAGCCCGGCAAGAAGATGAGTATACTGCCCTCGTGCGGCCACTCGTGCTCACCCTCCACAATGTGCTTGAGAACGGATTCAATTAGCTCCGGATTAATCATCATGGGCTCCATGAGGTAGATGCTCTTGCATGTCGTCTTCCTGTAGTCTGTCAATGGATCAAGAATTGAATAGCTATCGATATGGTTTGTGGCCAGAACTTACCCGCATAGCGGGAATATGTCTCCGCCAGTGTAAGATTCTCGTCTTTGACCTTCTGGCCAGGCGGTTCGCCGGATGCCTGAATATCAGCAAACTCTAGCAATTGCTCCAACACATCCTGTTCCTTCTTTTTGAGCTTGCGACAGTATTTCGTATCGCATTCCATCACAAAATCACAGGAGTCCAGTATGTCCTCAAGGAAAAGCTGCTGCACAGGAAACGTACGTCCCGGTATATCCAGCACGGGCGCACCACCAAAGTAATCGGAGAAGAGAGTCGCATTTAGCGTGGCAGACATGAGAATTACTTTGAGATCTTTGCGTTCCCGCAGTATATTCTTGAGTATTAGCAACAGAAAGTCCGAGTCCTGTGAGCGTTCGTGTACCTCGTCGACAATGACATGGCTGACATTGCTCAGCAGGGGATCTGAGGCCAGCCGGCGCAGCAGTATGCCCGTTGTGCAGAAGCTCAGGCGTGTGCTAGGCGAGATCTTGTTCTCGAGCCGTATCTGGTAGCCAACCAGCTGGCCAATGCGATCCAATCGCTCGGCGGCGACACGCTCCGCCACACCAATAGCCGAGAGCCGGCGGGGCTGGGTGCACAGAATCTCCACATGCGGCAGATCCGACTTGGGCGGCAGCTGTGTTGCACGAAAGAACCAATTGTCCAGTATGAACTGCGGCACTTGGGTGCTCTTGCCGCAACCCGTTTCGCCAGAGATGACAACCACCTGGTTGCTGTCAATCAGCGCCAGTATGCGCTCCATTTCGGCAAAGGCGGGCAGCTTACGGCGTGCCTCAATCAGCTTATGATAGCGTTCATCCCGACGCCGCTCATTGAACAGCTGCAGCAGTCGGCGATTTTCGCGCGCCAGCTCCGTGGCATTGCGCTGATGGGCGCCGCCGTCGCTGCGCGCCGTCTGGCCGCGTTCATAGTGGCTGGGCCGTGGAGCTGATGCAGCAGCGCCGTTGGCATCCAACAGATCGGCGCCATTCGCCGGCTCATCGAAGAACAGCGAGCGTTTGGGCGAGGGGAAACGCGCTGTGTCCAGACTGCCAGCCAATCCCTCATCCGTTTGCAGTAGCTCGCAGACGCTGTAAACACAGGGTATGCCATCCCGGCAAATCTCCCGCGCCTCACGATACAAATGCCGCGCAAAGCGCAGCCGCAGCTCATGCGGTATATCGTGGCAGGTGGTCTTGAGGTAGATGTAGGGCGCCTCGTATGGATAACGGCTGCCAGGTGGAAAGCGCACCTCCACATGGAACCATAGCTCGTTTTCATTCTCATCCAGATTCTCGGCACGCTTACGCTCCGGCGTCCCAGACACTTCCGGCTGTGGCGGCACATGCGCAAATCGGCATTTGGGTCCAAATTTACAGGTGCCATCACGATCGAAATTGCGACAACGTTGCGGCGCCTTCTTCTTTTTGTCCAATGCCGCCTGACGGGCGGCCGCTGTCGCCGCGAGGGCCGCTTCGCGCGCCTTGCGCACCTCCGAGGGGCTGTGTGCCAGCAGATGCTCGATCTTAAACTTCAGATTCCAGACGCTGTTGTATTCGCGCTCCTCGTACGCACGATCATAGATGGATTGCAGCGCCTCCTTCTCGTCGGCGCGCATGTCCAACAGCGCGGACTCGTCGGGCGGCTCCAGCTCGGGCGTTTCATCGCTGGGCACGCGCATATAGCGTCTATAGAGCAACAGCAGTGCCGCTTCCGTATCGTGAGAGCAGTGCTCATAGGCCTCCAAGCAGTGGACGGGATGGAATCCATAATTCTCCAGCTTGAGCAGCGCATAGCGACGCAGCCGATCGTCATCGGCGGTGCTGCTGGGCCCACTAACGCCCTGAACACTTTGCACCTGCAGTGTGCCGCGATCCTCCCAATAGGCATGTTTAATGCCCTTACCGCCGCGTCCGCGATCTTTGTATTTGCCAATATCGTCCAGCTTAAAGTCTGGACCGTGTATGGCACGCAACGTGTCCATGGTCAGCTGCTGTGACTCATCGCTCAAGCGCAGCACATGCAACTCCGTTTTGCGAGATTTGTTATCCGGCGCTGATTTTGGCGCCGCCGGCACATTCCTGCACATTCGAAGAGGAGGATTAATGGTGCTAACCCATTTTGCCGACTTGAATAATCATGTACTCACGTTGTGCGCGCATCGCTAGGCGGGCGCAGGTGCCAGTCTTCAATGCGTTGACGCGAGGATTCGTCCATGCCCACAATTAACAGCCGATTTCACAATTAAAGCTAATAACCAAACGGCCTAAGGAGCATTACCAAGTGAGCAATGTGCCAGATGTTATCGATTACAGCGCAACAGCTGACTTAACTGTCATCGGCGATGACAGGCGCAGCGTTGCCACTAAGCTCAAATAACATAAAAGTAACAGTTATATTTCAAGTCAGTTTAAATGTGTGTATGTTGTTAATGTATTATATAGAGATATATAGTTTTGAAATTGTGTGTGAAAAAGTTTAATAGAATTAAATTATTTCAATTGTGTTTCCTGGTTCAACGCACGTGGACACTTTTCCAATTCCAATTGCTCGAGCAGCTCTCTGTAATGGCAGATAAGTAAGTATACAAAATTTAAATTGTTAATAGCTATTATCATCGTATATCCGCGGCACACTTACATTGCCTCCAGCTCGTATTTCTCAAGAGTTGCCGTCTCGTCCAACATGGACTTATATATCATGTCCCTTTCCTTGAGCCGCAACTTATATTTGGCCGCAATATCCGTAGTGGCAGCATATATGGCAGTTCGTTGGGTTTGCAGTTTAGCTATGCATTCCATTAAGCGGACATACGGCTAATCGATCAAATTAAGATGTTATGTTCATTATGTATGTGTTTGTATAAACATTTCACAGTTAAACTAACCATTTCGGTATATTCGTCATGTTCGTTTTGAACGGCGATCGCTTCTTTGGCCTTGATTGCCTGGTCACAGTGTTCGGCATAGGCACTGACATATTCGTTCTCATCGTTGAACAAATTGTGAAATTGTTGCAATAATTGCTTGTGCATATTGTCTACTCGTTCCACTGTGCACAATTTAATGCTTACTGAATTATTTAGGCTGCACAAAAGTTGCATTTTTTCTTCCAGAATTTTTGACGATATGTTTTGATCATAAGTTACCACCTGACGCACACAATTGTTATCCGAATCCTGCACAAGGCGTATTTATTAAAAATGCATATGTGTACATATATGTGTATGTATGCATGTATATTTACCGTATATTTTAGGCATAGCCCTACAAATTGTTTCATTAACTGCGTAATTTCAGGGATGTCCACGGTTTTCTGATTGACTTCAGCTCCAATCAGTTCCATTTCCTGATCTGCGTATTCCAATTGCTTATCCAAATCGAAGCCAGACGCATTATCATCAAAGTCCGACATGTTATTTTGTCTATTAAATGCTTTATTATTAGAAGCCAAACTTCTTGCGCACCGCAATAGATTTGCTTTCGCTTGCTATCGAAACTGTCGCGGCGATAGTATTGCCTATCGATAACAGTTGGCAACGTCAAAAGGAATCGAGTTCCTATTCAAAAATGACTAAAATTTACTTCGCATTAGCAGCACATATATTCAATTACCTACAACAGTCTATGCTGTGTGTGTGTGCGTGTGTGTGTGTGTGTGTATATGTTTGGCGAAATAACTCTTATACAAATATTGAATTCTTCAACTCACATATACTTTATTTACAGCCAAAACATGGCAAACAGAAACCAATCCTTGCCGCTGAAGAAGTTCAAGCGCGTTGCTAGCAAAGCACTTCGCATGGAACGCGAACGATCTGAGCTGGAACTGCAGATGTTGAACGCAGCTAAACCAAACAAAGTGCTGCGCGATCCTGAGCCAGAAATCAAACCAGTGCCGCCGCAGGAGCCATCGTCGTTGATGCCGCCTCTCTCACCGAAACGGCAAACACAAGTGAACTTGCGACCCAGCTCACAGCCGCCCATCTCTCGCAAGGAACAGTCCACAACATTGGTGACCAGTGCACCAGGACTGTCGAAAGAAAGGCGGCAACAAGACGATAACGTGCTGGCAAGCCGCGAGCCGGATGACAATATAACACCACGCCGCAAGCCGGACGACAAGATGCAACCAAGCCTGTTGCCGGAACAGACCAAGCAGCGTCGCCGCTCACCGGACAGCACGCAACAGCGTCAGTTCCAGGACGAGCACGTGCATCAACGCCGTCCAAACGACGATTACATGAGCCAGCGCCGCCCAAAGGACGGCGATGACCTGCAGCATCGCCGCCAGGTGAAACAAATGCACGAGCATGCACATCAACACGTTCGAGTTGCCACAGCCGCTGCCGCAGCAGCTGCTGCCACAGTAGTTGCCCAGCTGCGCAAGGACGCAATCGATGCCGTTGCCCGCCAACAGGCTCCCTATATGCGTATGGCAGCACTTTCCAGTGCCAGATCCAATTCGAGCAACGGTTCGCCAAGTGACCAGCGCCGCGTGATCCGCAATTCAAATTTGCTTAGCTCGGCACTCAGTATTATTCGCGAAATGGATCCAGCATTTCTGGAGACACTTTGCTATGCCATTCACGATCAGGTCACCAAGGATGATCCCTCGGAGTCGGAGTGATTTGTTTACATATACATTATTATCGATTCGCCGACAGCGCTCCATATATTTTGTTTATTTTCTTCGCTTTCGCCAATTTCAAAATGGGTTTCAAAAATTTTTTGTTTTAGTTCCTCCATTGCTAACGATTCTAAAAGGATGCGAGACGTTTTTGAAACAAATGGGGCGGCAAAACTAACTTCAATATGCATTTTGATTTAACTTGAATGTCAAACCCTTAGGTCGATTCCCCTCTTTCTGTCTTTTGAGGAATAAAAACTTTATATTTTGATGCAACCAAAATATTGCTTGCGAATAATTGAATTTTATATAGCTCATATTCTATCTCGCTCAATTGGTGTGTGCCTCACCTCAATTTATCAGTTTAGATTTACATTTTTTTTTATTTTTGTCCAGTTCTATTTTTGTCAGATGTATTTTTCAACTGCGTTTAACAATTGCTTTTTTATTTTGTACTTTGAACCCAATTTGAAATATTTTGCGATAAGTAACGATAGTTAATCAATTATCGATAGTTTTCAGTATTTATTATATACCCACACACATCTCTATTGCAATATTTTAACGGAACAAAAACAAAATGAAGGAGGGGTGTCTTTTAAATGGCGCGCTCCTTGAGCTTGAACATGAGTGGATCCTTGGTGCGCAGGATCAGCTCAGCAATGAGCACAGGCGGCTCTGCGGTATTGCCCACAAATTCAATTTCAAAGTGCCGCAACACATTCGCGACAATGGCCTTGATCTCCAGTGTGGCAAACTTCTGGCCAATGCAGTTGCGCGGCCCCGCCGAGAAGGGTATATAGGCATAGGGATTGAGCTTCTCGGCGCTGGTGACAACATCGAAACGCTCCGGTATGAATATGTCCGGTTCGCTAAAGAGCTCCTCGCGTCGTCCCAAATATAAGGGGGAAATGCCAATATTGGTGCCGGCTGGAATGATCTTGCCATCTGTTTGGATATGAAAAGAATGAGTGCATTTAATGGATTGGTAGTGCATAGTGCCATAACTCACTTATTTCGCACTCCTCGAGCACCTTGCGCCCCAGCAGTGGCACCGACGGAAACATGCGCAGCGTCTCCTTGATGCATAGATCGACATAGTGTAGCTTATTGAGCAGATCGTAAGTGACGGGCGTCGCCTTATCCCTGCCCAGCACCGTGATAATCTCATCAACGCACTTGCGCTGGCATTCCGGATACGTGGCAATGTTGTAGAAAAAGAACATAATGGCCGACGAGGTGGTATCATGGCCCTCGAACATAAAGGTGTCCACCTCCTCGCGTATGTCCATATTGGTCAGCGGCTTGTCATCAATGCTCGACTGCAGCAATATGTCCAGAAAGGCCATCTTACGCTTAGCACCCACGTCCGCATCGTCCGCACTCTGTGCACTATGCTCGCCGGCATTGCTCGCACGCAGCAGCTCCTGGCGTCGCTGCACAATGATCTTCTCTGTAAAGTTGTGCAGCACATTCAACGCTCGGCGCTCGGCCCGAGCCAGCGGTGTCAGCATGTAGGTCAGCTCGAACCGATAGAATATGTTGAACATGCGCTTGTGGAGCACCATCGAAATAGTTTTCACCGCGCGCACATATTCCGAGTCCACGTTCGTCTGTGCATTGATGGAGACGCCCATGGCGGTTTCTGAGCGGACAAATTGAAAGATGTTTAAAAGTGGACAAATTCCGATTAAGATCAAATCATAGGTATGCATTACTTGCTTTAAATTGGATAGTATTTATTTGGGTGCATCAAATTATAACTAGACCGAGCTTCTTCCCCTGGCCCCACTGATTAAGTTCGGAGTTTATAGTCCGATCTTTCTAAAATGTTCAGTGCATGACAATGTCAAATCCCAAGGTATCTAGAAAGTTAAATTCACTTTCGTAGCTTTAAATAAAACGTATTTCGATAATTATTTTTATCGATTTCCTGGCAACGGGATAATTTATCGATAATTTGAAACGAACTATCTGCACGGGCCGCAGAAGGACCCACGTCCAGCTCTGATGGCGGATTCATAAATATGAGGCCGAAGATGGCTTCTTAGCTAGAGCCCTTTGGTGCCGTTTACCTACCACAAATTGTGTCCATGGTGCAGAGATTGATCCAATCATATAGATTAAAGCCAGTCTGGCCCTGCCGCCGGCGTTCCTTATCCAAATTGTGCAAAAGCACACGCGATTCACGCTCAAAAATATCGACAAACTGTTCGAGAATCTTGAAATGGAATGCGGGCGTTATGATCTTGCGGCGCTTGTGCCATTTGCGGCCGCGACTGACGAGCAGACCCTCCTTGAGCCACGGCTCCAGGGCCTTGTACTCGCCGGCCTTGTCGTTGAAGCGAAGTGTGCCCAGCACGAGCTCCACATCTTTGGGATTGGCCATCAACATGTTCAGCTCTGGACCCAGCCACACTTTGAGCGTCTCATCCCTGGCATAGAGTCTCATGAAATCGTCAAGTGTTTGCATCATCTCGTGCGGTTCCTTGCCAATAAAATGATGGCCATGACCCAATAGCGGCCACGCAGGCGGACTGGCCAAATCGCGAGTCACCTCGATGAGATGCTTGAACTTCAGCTGGTAGATGAGAAAACCCAAAAAGAGGGCGCTGGCCAAGAAGAGACCCAGTGCTAGAAACATTTCACTGCAGCACTCAAAACGCAATTCTACACTAAAGCCCAAAACAACGATCATTAGCTATATCTAGCCCAATTCCCTTCATTTGCTCCATTTGCTGCTATTTTGGTCAGCGTCAACATTAGTAACATTTATGGACACAAATCTAATCGCTGCTTATCCACAAACTGCCATCGGCACGGACACACTTAGTGACTGCTCCAGTCCCCGGCTATCTAATCGCTGTGAGAGCATCTTTACGAGCCGCCCGCCCGGCTGCACTTTGCCCAATCGTTGGACGGTGACGAGTTAACAAGCTATGTGTACCCACATAATTGATAGAGTGGATCTGGGTCGCGGTCAATCAGTTCTATTCGAATAGCTCCAAAAAAGTCCAAGCGAAAGCAAAGATGACAGCTCCAGTCGGGGGTACGAGTGTTGTTACCCAAAACAGATGGACTTAGTTTGTGTTCTTGATCAAGATCTTATATGCACTATGGAGTGGAAGCTGCTGCCTTTTGGCTGTAACACACATCTGCACATAAACATTCAACTCTGTTTAGCCATAACAAGAAGTGGGCGGATCCCTTAGATATCGCCAGCATTTCATACTCACCACAGATGACATCCAGGGCGCACAGATGCGCAGCATGTCCCAGCTCGACCAAATTGCTGCCATCGCCACGAGCCTGGGCCAAATGGTTGACAAGCAGACGCGTCTGCCTATCAAAGATCTCGACATATTGATCCAGAATGCGAAAGTGGAAGGCGGGCGTTATAATTTTGCGCCGCTTGTGCCACTTGCGGCCGCGACTGACCAGGAGGCCCTCGTTGAGCCAGCCCCTTAGGAAATTGTACTCAACGGCCTTGTCCAGCAGCTGGGTGCTGCCCAGCACAGTTTCGACATCGCGCGGCTCGAACATCATAACGCTAAAATTGGTGCCCATTTTGAGCTTAAAGGTGCCGCCATACTTGTCCGCCAGTTCGCCAATTAGCTGGGGCAACTGTGACGGCTCCAAGCCCAGAAACATATTGAAATTGCCGATCAACGGCAGCGTTCGCGGTCCCGGCAGCAGTGCGGCCAGCTCGTGGGCTCGTCGGCGCCGGCGCAGCCACGGGAGCAACGGCAGCCAGCTGAGCGTGGCCAGCGCCAGGGCAATGCACACGGCGGCGATGACGAGCGGCAGGCAGTACAGCATTTCACCTTGGAGCAGAGACAATTTGCGACTGAGTGAGTGCATATGATTTGCTGGCCAAAGATCTCGTTATCTGCAGCAGCCGCTAGAAGGTTATCCGTTAGCTGGGCCATGTCAAGTTCAAGTTGTTTTGTTGTTATCTTTTTTCGTTATTCGCATCTTACACATGGCGCGTTTAAATTTAGAATATTCGACTAAAAATAGCTCCAGAAATATGGCAACTGTGACGCCACGTCCGGGCTGGCAACGCTGGGTGGAATGGGCGAGTGGGTGTTTAGGTGTTTACACTTTTTCCTGCTTTGTTATTGGTTTCAATGGGCAGCTGTGACGTCACTTGCGTGTCAGCCATTTTGGTTCAGCTGGCAGCGCCTGCAAAGGGGATGAGCGAGAGAGCTGATGGCGACGGCGAACGCAAATATGCATAAATATATGTAGTTATAAATATTCGATATTATTTAAGTGCGCAGCTAGCCTAACATCTCGTTGTTGACCCATTCACATAGCTTAAGCGTACACTGAGCAAAACAAATGTCCATTAATGGTAAAAGGGCACAGGTATAGAGAATATTCAGTAAACCTGTTAAGCATTCAGTTTTCACATTTCCGTTTGTCCTTTTTTTCAGTGTATTTTATTTAACGGCAAATTTTAAACAGATTGTGTAGCTTATAAGGCACATAAAATGTTGAGGCATGTATAAATATCTAACATCAATTAGAAAAAAAAGAAGATAAATATAGGTCCAAAAAAATGTCTTGTTATGACGAACTAAATAACAATAAGATGATTACAATTGATTTCCGATGCTGGAACAGAGCAGTTCTGGACTTGTGACTTACTCAAGTGGATCTGGGCGCGACCAAGCGAATTCTGAATGCGAAATGAATTCACATCGGGCGCCAGCTGAATCATTCGGCTCACTCGATTTGGATCGTTACGTACACAACAACAATGTCATAAAGCAGCGTATGGTGAGTACCTGATCTGGAGATACCCTGTATCCAGCACTTTACTGCGCTCCATGCTTGTGAGGCAAGACAGAAACACATAATATCCTTGTATATGGGAGGAAAGGGGGCTTGGGTGACTGTTTCCAAAATTTGAAATATTCTGGATCTGTGTAGACTTTAAGAGACCTACCATCCGATGGATGGTTCTAGTTCCTATAAGCTTTTCAGATATGCTCAAAGAAACGAATCTGTAAATCGATAACTAATCGATTTTGCAGCAGTCGATAATTAGAAAAGCAAAACTTTTGCGCTATGCACAGAATCATAATACCCTGCCTTTTCAATGAGTACAGGGTATAACCAGTAGGCGTCCTTCAAGC